GGCTGAATATTTAATTCTGATCCTAAGTATTTCACATAATGGTAGGAGATGCCGGCGATAAAATACCGTGATAAGCATTATACTAATGCTCTCACCAACATTAAGCAAATTGCTCTTTCTGGAAAATGTACTCAGTTGCAGAAAAATAAATGACTCTACTAGTGAAGGGACTGCTTCGAGATGTGATGTTTAGTAGAAATTCTGATCATTGCAACCGTTGGAAGATTTATGAATAGCAATAACTGCAGAAGTTGATTGCAAGTTTAATACATATTCAAGTAGAAGTAAATCGCAGTCATGCAACCGGAAGAGGAGGAAAATTACGACGACTTAAATTCATAGCTAATATTCCTCGAAATGACAAGTGATATTATTGCTTTGTCAGTAACATTTATTTGTAAAGGAAACATAGATTGCTTTTATTGCATGTCATTCTGCTTTGAATTATTTCAAAGTAAATAGCAATAAGGATAATTTGACAAATAATAACAAATCAGGTTAAGAATTGCTTTCTTTTCTTCTGATCTTTTGCATAATGAACTTAGTTGTCGGACTTTACATATTAGCTTCATAATTTTTATTTCAATGATGATTTAATTAACAGAAGTGTATTTCAGAAAGTGTTTTTTTAACTTTTTTATAATCATGCGCATGCGTAAAGTGATTCAACGGATAATTTAATTGATGATGATTCAACTGGTAAAGTGATTCAACGGATAATTTAATTAACAAAGATGTACTTTAGAAAATGTTTTTTTAGCTTTCTTTATAAATATGCGCATGCGTAAAGTTCCCATGACTACAAAATTCGAATCTTATTTTAAATGCAAAGCAAGAAGAATTTATTCTTTAGCATTAAGTAGATGTTCATGACGATTATTCTGAAGTCAGATATATATCCCAAAAGTAATAATTAAAATTTTCATATAGATTCTGTTGTCTTGTCCACGAATTTCATGGAAGAATGGTTGCCAAAGCTTCAAGGAGGTTGGACTGATACTTTCATCCCAATTTTGAAGGACAGCACCGGAGGTCTCCCACTCCTCTTTCTCTACCACCAATCTTCCGAGAGGACTTTCGGCTCGCTGCATATTTAGAATGCCAACATGCCGCACAGACACAATACAGTTACAAACACCAATGCTTTCTCCAGGATTCGAACTTGGGCCTTTCAGTACCGCAGTAGGCTTCCCTAACCATTATACCGTCTGGGCAACGAATGCTAAGTTATTATCTTGCATATTTTTCCCTTTTGCACTTTCAAATTTATTTTTAGAGTTTATACTACTGTGAATTCTTATTTTAATTTTGATTTGCTTTTGATATTGATAAACCTCTTTTTCACGATTGATAAACCTCTTTTTCACGATTGCAATTATTAATATTTCTGAGGAATTCCTTGCTTTAACTCCAATTTACTTTTAACTTTAAGTAGATTAGATTCTTTAAGTATATATATATATATATTATAGTGAAAGTCACTACATGGGTGACTAAAAGTATAATGTAGTCCTAATACTTATTTACTTATATACCCTATACCAGCGGTAAACAAAAACTAAAAAACGTTAGTACCACTAACTACATTTTACAATGATTAATTTTCAATTTCTCAATAGAAAAATTTTAAAAAATATATTTTTCCATTTGCACAACCTATTGGCTATTTGTATTAAATATGCATACATAAAATATTACATTAAAAACTGGTGACCATTTTAATTATCAAAATTTAAGTTATAATACTTTAATTCTAAAATTTAGTGTGAACTTTGGACCTGTTTAAGAGAGATCAATTTCTTTATGTCTGGTTACATTTCACTTAGCCGTAAATTAGGATCCACTTGTGCAAAATGGGTATAAAAATTTAATAGCTTTATTTGAAATGCTTTTAAATTCTTTTTTCCATTCAGCCTAAAGTTAACAAGTATGTTATTTTTGAAATCTTCAGTTAGATTTCAATCACAGAAAATTTCTATCAATTGTTCTTTCCCTTCACGATATGTTTGATTTTAATGATTAAAAATACTTTGTTCTTTGCATACCACCGGTTTTTCTCTTGCGTACCATCACTGGTATGCGTACCATCGGTTGAGAATCGCTGCCCTATACTAAGTTAATAAGATAAACAAAATGATGAGAGAAAATAAATCAGTTTTAAAATATATATATAAATCGTATAAACTGCTTAAAATAGCTATACAATTTCTTCAATTGGTCTACATTTGTCCAATGTCTAAACTAATGGCAAATTGTATTAATGTAGATAAATTAATAAATAAAACGTTGAGAGGTCATAAACAAATTTTAAGAATGGAATACACATAAAAGCCCTTTTAAGTTGCATATGAAAAACAATGCATATTTAAAATCATTTTGGAAACCTAATTATTTCCATTAGATTTAACTTTTTCAAATTTCAGCAAAATTCTAGTAAAAATATGTTACGGTGAAATACCGAAATCTGGAGAATGTCGACTTTCACCGGTGAACGTCAACAATCACCAAGTCGCTTGGTGTATGCCCGAAATAGTATTTTCCAAATACTCTTATTTTTTGACTTACATCGGTAACTGTCGACATTCATCATGCACTAATGGTGAATGATGAACATATAAAAATATTATATTTTCTTCTCCGTAATTCAGTCGCGAAAAAACGCACTTGAGACTTAAAATAAGAACTTAAAACACACAGTACATTCAAAATGAGAAAGGAAAATAATAGAAGTTAAAAACTTACTTAATTATACAGTACGTTTTAAATGAGAAAATAAAATAATATATTAATAAAATCTTACTAGATTATGCGATTCAAATCTTATTTATTGCAACAACTTAACTATTATGACCTCTCTCATCGACCTACACCAGAGCATATCTGTGATTGTCGACATACCCCTGTGAGGGTCCGAATGTACAAGAATGTAATGCAATATTCGATCTTTCACCGACGTATTTGGTGAATGTTGACATTCTCCGGTGAAAGTCGACATTCTACAATTTCGGTCTTTCACGGTAACATATACATATATATTCCTTAGAACTACTCTGTAACTTAAACGCTTCTCTTAATTGCGGTAAAAGAATATTTATATATCGAAATCAGTAGCAAGATATAAGCTAAGCAAAGGTAAATGACGTCACTCGATGATGTTAAAATCCTAACACAAACGTGTAAATTAAAATACAGAAAATTTCTGTTCTTATTCAGCATATGGGAAGTCTGATTAAAATTCTCTTAAAAGCCTAATTTAACTTCTTTAAGTTTTTTTCAATTCAATAAAAATCTTTTTTTTACTTTGTGATACGCATTCAACAGCTGAAATGGCGAAATTTATATTTCCACTTAAAATTTTGACGTTCTTTAACAAAATGGTTATTTTCAGCAACATAATTCTTGCTATTTATTTGGAATATTTCTCTAATATTTCTCATAAATCAAGAGTTAATCAACTATTAAATTTTACGTTTTGGTGCTTGTTGTAACTGAAGCATTTCGTTTCTGTCACAAAACTCTAATATTTCACAATAATATTGAAATACAGTAGAGACCCGCAAACTGGACATAATGTGGACTGAAAGACTGCCGATTTTCGGAAAAGTCGAGTTTTACAGAATAAGGGGTGGTTTTTCAGAACCCTTAGTATTAACTCTAGACATTTGTATCACAATATTGGACACGGAAAAGTACAGCATACAATTAAATTAATGTTGATTTTTCTTATGTTAGGGTCTAGAACAATAGGAGTCATAAAAGAACAAATACCCTAAGATAATTGAATAAAAATACTTATAAGGTATTTCTCCCGCCTTCTTAGCATGCCTTCGTGGTGTGGTGGTCTGCACGCTGGACGCGTATTCCAAAGGTCCGCGGTTCGACGAAGACGTTGCTCATTTTTCATCTTGCCTGCTTCCAAATATACCTAATGTCTTTCCAAGGGCACCCGAACTAAAAGAGTGGTGGATAACGATTCTGCACACCCAGGATTTGGCCACTGGGTCCCCTAAAAACCCCAGTGGCATTTTGAAAAGGGGAGCATATAAGGTAATTCTTCCGCCTTCTTGACATGCCTTCGTCGTGTGGTGGTCTGCACTCCAGAAGTCCGATTCCCGGCGAAGGCGTTGCTAATTTTTCATTTCCTCTGCTTCCAAGCCCACACCAGCGGCCGAGCGGTAAAAGTCGCTGAACACTGGTAGTTCGGTCCGAGGTTCGAATCCCGCGAACGGGCTGGCTGCATGGGTGTTTTCGTGGTTTTCCCCATGTGTAACGAATATACGAGCCAGTTTCCCTTAGAAAAACCTCCACGAAGGCATCCCTCCCCTTAGGCAGATAGCCCTAGTGTGCTTTTCCATAATTAAATACACCAAGCACCAAACACCTCTGCTTCCAAAAAATCCTAATGTCTCTACAAACTTACATACAAAAATAAAGAACAATTATTGGTAGTTCTTGGTTGAAAAATATCGTGTGATGATAGATTGTCTCTTAAACTTATTCCGTCGTCCTGTAGCTTCATCCCGTAAGCGACGGAAGAACAGAATGTCCATACCAGATGCATCTTGCCCCTCCATATAACGGAGCAATCCTTCAGCGGCCTTCAGTCCTTAACTATGGGTCATTATTTTAGCCTTGCCATTTTAGCTTTGTTTAGAAGGAAACAGCGTTGGCAGTATTACAACACTCCTTGAAATTTTTTAGGAAGTTCGAAGAATTAATGGCACAATGCAAAATTTACAGAAAAAGGAACACTCAGATGTTTGCATAGAACAGAAAAGACATACGCATAAATAATAATTATATGTATCTACTGTATGTAATCTTTGCTTTGTTTGGCCTAGAGATATCTTTAAAAAGTTCCTAAAATGTTGTTGAGTTACACGGAATGTCGAGATATCGGTAGTCGAGTTTGCGGGATACTACTGTACTAAAAGTAAACAAATAAACGTCTGAAAAATTAACTTTACACTACATAATTCCTTTCTATGAAATGTTCTTACCTTTAGGTGGGTTTATATGGATTCCTGAACGATATAAATTCTCTTCATGCCACCAGTCTCTATTTCGACGAACGGTACGCACCGACATGACGAACACGAGACACAAAAAAATACTTAATAGAACTCGCTTCCTGAGAAGTCCTTCTTGCCTCCTGTATAGTTGGTCCAAGCCTATTGCCACAAGGAGGCAGAACCCCATACTGGGTATGTACAGTACACGCTCTGCAACCACAAAGCCAACATAGAAGAAAAGGTTCGTGGCCGGCACGAAGGGGAAGGCCAGTAGACTTGTGGCCATTATCACAGCGTCTGTGTTGTGGTGCAGAGAATTGAAATAGTGGCAGTCCGCACTACTGGCTGCCGTGTGGCACAGGTGAGAAGAACCACCATTTGCACTATTAGTAAAGCTGGTACCATTCATCGCTCTATGATGTCCATTGGAGTAATTGTTATTGTTGTTATTATTATTGATAGCACTAGTAAAATGCTTGCTGTTGCTAGAGTTGCTCTTGTTGTTATAGTGTTTCCCCAGTTGAAGTCTGTGATTCCAACTACAGCACGAGGAAGAGCAACTGCATGAGCCAGAGCTGCCGGACAAGGCACTGGGCTTTTGCAACGACAGGGACCGAGAAAGATATACTAAGAAGTGGACACTAGCCCCATAAAAGCAGGCACTAAGAATGTTTCTGGGATCCAAGGGACTGGTCAAAAGTGGTATGGATTCCATCGACCAATCAAAACTCAACCAGCGAGGGCACAGTAGCAGCCAGAAGTTGAAAGCGGGAAGGTAGAGAAATGTGAGAGTTCTGGTAAGAAACGAATCACTGTCAGAAGCAGGATTGTCAGCTGGCGCAAAGTCAGGAGGCTTGCTGCCCATAAGGTGGAAGCGCATGGCTAGTAGAATGACTGCTGTTCCTCCTAAATGCAGTAATCCTTCTCTGAGGGGCCGATATTTCTTCTGAAAACAAATCAGAAACATTATACAAACAGACAAAAAAATACAATATTAACTACAATAAGATGAAATTACTATAAAAGGAAACATTCTGAAATTAGTTAATAATAAAGAACGAGAAAAAACACATTGACAGGACATGAGTTAAAGAAGCTTATTTAAAAGAAAGGACAATAAAAAGTTTTAATATTTATGCCATAACTTTTTTTTTCCCTTTCTTGTCGTAATTTTACTTTAGAAATATATTTGAAACCTGCTTTTCTATACTCAAGATGCTAGTCTGGACACTTCGCAAATATATTTAAATCGATAATTTCTTCAGTGCTTTTTCTGAATTTCATCTTCCCGATTACAGAGATTAATATACTCTTTTAATTTTGTTTCAGAATTAGGAAAGGAAGTTAGTTTCATTTCAACACGCACATGGTTACCGATTTGCGATGCAAGTTCTGTATACTTGTCATGGTGTATTTGGAGGGAGGGGGGTTAATTTGCCTTTATATGATCTTCATAGTTGTTTAATTAAACTTGATTATTTTTAGCATTTTAAAAGTTATGCAAACATTTTCTTCGTTATAGTTCAATAAGCTGGAGACGAAAGAAAAATGCTACAATGAAATTAACTATTTTTATTCCTTAATGAACACAATTGATAAGAACACCACAGTGATATCATTAGTTAATGCCAATAAAAAAGACGCGCACGTGTGAGAAACGCAAAATTCCAGAACATCACAAAACACAAGAAGGCGAGAATGTTTATTTATGCTTAGTGCAGTGTAAACCAAGAAATAAGAACATAAACAGACGATCGTCATCAAAGAATGTGTTCAAAATAATGACCCAGACCGTGTTGCAGGAACAGTGCGTCATGCGTCTTCTATGCGATCTTCCATGTCGGATGCAAAACTTCCATGCGCCTGAGATGTGATGCATGTATCACGGTCCGGGGTCGTCATTTCGAACACCTTCTTTAATGACTATTGTTGTTTGTTTTTGTTCTTATTTCTTGGTTTATGCTGTACTAAACATAACAAAACATGTTTTGTCACACCTTTCATGCCCTTCCTTTTCTGTGCTTTGTGCAGTCACTGCCGCGTCACGAAAGCGCTTCCGACCATGCATTGCTATGTGATTTTCCATCGTCCAGGTGTACTCTGTCTCTACTGAAAGTTTTTAACAGATCTGTATTAAAAAAAAAAAAAAAAAAAAAAAAGTTATTTGTTGTACTACATGTATGACTAAAATAGTATAGTGAGAATAACTGTTTTCGGAAATTACTATTCTAATCATAATAGGGTAATGAAGAAAATAAATTTTTTATGATATTATACTTCGAGTTGAATTTTTAATAACTTTTCAGAAAATGTGACAGTTGTTGTTGTTGATATTCCTAATGCTCACATGTCGCACATATAGTCAGCCCAAGCACACGAAACTCCTCGTGCCAAGGAGAACCAGTTTACGCCTGTCATTGGCAACTGCCTTGAACACAGGTGGCAGTGTGATTTAGCTCAATTCCGCCTCCAATTTTGATTTTCTTCACCTACCACCAACATCTCGAGATGACTTTCGGCTCGCCGCATATTTAGAGTGCCCCCACGCCGCACGGACACTATACATTTGCAATCTCCGGGATTCAAACCTGGGCTCTTCGTCACGGCAGTCAGCGACGCTAACCACTTTACTGGTTGGGAGGCATGTGGCAGTAAGGTGGCATTAATGATATGTTTCTTAGTCAACACCATATTTTTAAAACGAAGTGTCAGAATGGTAACTATTAATCCGGGATAATCCTGAACATTGGTAAGTCTGTGTGCAAAAAAAAGGCCCTTGAAATTCATTCATTAATTTAATTTTTTACAGGAAATGTTTGCTTCCGACATTTCGTTTTCTAGTTAATAATCACATCCATTTCAGTGATATTGAAAATAAATGGATGCAGAATTCTTCTTTTGCAGCTTTTGCCGATGGCTCTTTGCAAATACTGCGAAATGTTTTCTTAAAGTGCTCTGCTTATTGGACTTTCCTATGATAGCATAGTAAATGACGTAAGTAAATTTCTCCTTCTTCCTTGCTGGAAACGAAGAAAGGCGTGTTCTCAAATGCCAAATAATTTCATGACAGATAGCATTAATTTTCTGTAAGTGGATATTAAACATCAACGGAGAAATTACCCCAAGCGTCAGAATTCTTTTCTTGCTTCCCCAGCGGGCTTCATAACCCACAATCTAACAAATATCACTTGAGCAATGGAGCATAATTGCGATGCAGCATTTAATGAGGTACGCTCCACCCACGCTTATGATGGGAGGAAGAGGTACAGACTGCATAAATAATCAGCGATCGAAGAAAAGAGAGGTCCAATTTCCGGACGGAAAAGTCCATTAGAGACTCTTAATTTAATGGAAATCGGGATCACTATTAATGGATGTCGTGTTCCTGATGCGTACTTCTGTGGCAAAAGTTAAAGGATGAGATGTTCATACGATTGCCATGGAAACAACACAAACTAAAGAGCAAATATCTTTACAGTTAGTAATAGGATGAAAGCTTTATGGACTGATGATGAGAGATCATGTAATCAGTAAAAATACTAATACATAGAATTTGAGAATAGTAACTCAGTTGACGATTATTCTGTTTCATGTATGACAACAATGGTGGGTGAATAACTGTTATTGTGAGGATACTTTAACTTGAATGTTGTTGATTAGTAATCTTAAAACTTGATTATTGATGTTAATTAAGAAGTTTATTTCATATTAATTTTCAAACCTTTAAAGGAATATTGAATTTTTAATTAACCCATTAACTGATATAATCCCCATTTGGGGATTTCTCTTAGCAGCGGAAATTTGGTAAATTAATTAGGTTGGCAACAATTCTTCCTTTTAGCTCAAATGGCGTTAGCCCACAAGAGCTATTAACTTCATTTTGGCACTTTGCGTCGATTCACTATAAACAGCGAATCACTTTTTAAAGTGTTGCCACCAAATACTAGAGGCCTGTATTATATTTAAAGAAATTATATAAGGAAACATGTGCATAATGTATATACGTTTCTCATATTGTGATAAAACAACGGTACCTACGTCCATCAAATTTTGAAGAACGTACGTCTCCACCCCAATATGGGCATCTGAAAGCCAAAATTTGGAATTTGCTTTATTATCAATTTCATATTTTGTAAAGCATTTATGAGTTTTTGATTAAGAAACTCGACGACTTCAAAGCGAGCAATGGCAACATTTTACAACAATTTTATGATTGTGTATCGGAAATTCTAAAGAAATGCTCTTTTAAATATTTTGCGATATTGCTATTGAATTGAATTTTATGGTTTAAGTGTGAAGAGAATGATATTTAATATGTAAGAGACTAAACGGTAAAAAGCACCTCCTTTGGGCATAATATAAAATCTGAAAACTTTCACTTTTTTTTTTTTTTTTTTTTTTTTTTTTTTTTTAGTCCAAAGGGATTTGAATCCCGAAGGGCTATTAGTTTCGTTTTGGCATTTTGCGTCGGACTCATAAATGTCGGTTCACTTTTCAAACTGTTGCCACAAAATGTTAGAGTCCTGCATTATATTTGAAGAAATTAAATAATGAAAAAATGAAATCTGCATAAATGTATGTATATTTCTCGTGTATTGTGATAAAAACGGTACATAGAGTCATCGAATTTTGAATAACGTAATCCTCCTCCAACGAATATGAGCATGTGGAAGACCAAATTTGAAATTTGAAATTTGTTTTATGATCGATTTCCTATTTTTTAAAACTTTGACGAATTTTTGATTAACAAACTCAAGGATTTCAAAGCGAGCAATGGCAACGTTGTGCAGAAAAAACATTTTTATCTCCAGCGCGTGAGTCTCTGTATCGGAAATTCTAAAGATATGCTCGTTTTAAAACTATTTTGCGATATTGCTGTTGCACTGGATCTTATGGTTTAAGTGCGAGGAACATGATATTTAATAAAGAAAGGTAACACACAAAATGTTAAAAAACGCCCCTTTGGACGTAATTTAAAATCTGAAACATTTCAGATTTTTTTTTCATTGTTGTTTAAACATTTCTCAAGCTTTTGCATGAGTTGTTGAGTAGTAGCTGTTGTTAAATGAGTGAACTGGAGAGTATTAAGAAGCAAAATTTTTCTGAGTTTCAAGATTTCCACATTTTTAAAACGTTCGTATGTCATACTATTACGTACATTTACTATGTATATAACTTTCAACTCCTATGTACTGTATGTATCCATTTTGACCGCTTTCAAATGCAATTTAACGATGTTTTTGCGTGACATCTGTACGTAAGGACAGAATAAAAGACTCTTTTCCTCCAAAAAAATTATGAAACTGCTTTAAAATGAATTCTGAAGAGAATATTTCGTGGCGTCTGTACGAACGTATGTATGTACGTACGTACGTATCTCGCATAACTCAAAAACGAGTAGCCTCAGAACGTTGAAATTTTGTATATAGGACTACTATAACATATAGATTTGCACCTCGTATTTTGGTTGCTATCGGCCGCGCCAAACGTATATAAATATATTTATATATATATATCCACTCTGTTACCCGGTTCATTGATCTCAGGTTCTTTACTCTTATATGTTTGTAAATTGTACATTTTTTGCTTTAAAAATGATTGAATTTTGTTGTTCTTATCTTCCGGTTAAGGTTTTTATGCCTTTAGTAAATCTGTATTCAATATTTTTAGAATTATCAACAATTTTATAGTTGTTTAAGTGCCGCTAAGCCTAATAATTTTTTTGATGGTGGCCATTACCTTTTTACATTTGAAACAGCAGAGTAGTGGATTTGTTGCCAATTTAGAGAAACGTAGCTTCGCAACAACAAAGATAACGCCTTCATTTATTATTGCGAATTAAATCATGCTTAATCCTTTCTGGAATTTTTTCGAGGAAATAAGTGTGTAGGGTTTATATTTATTTTAACTAACATTTATTTTAAGTTTAAACTACCTTTCCTGTCAAGCCTTACTTTTCCCCTGGAATTGCCAATGCCAGAGTATGTAAATTTTAGTAGAACGCGCAAGGATTCAAATTATCAGCGGAAGTATTCTGATTTAAATAGAAAGGAAACGAGTTCGAGGTGTGATATTCTTACTTCACGAGCGCGGAGGTAGTTGGCCAGAAATTGAAGAACCCCGCGTTTCGGCCTGTGTGCTTGCCTGGAAGTAGTGTTAATCGTTCAAGTGATCTTCAAGTTTGCTGAATTAGCAGCGGTATTGTAAAACGCGGTGAGTTAGTTACTTTTAGAGAGCCTCGTAGTTAGAGTCTTGTCTTTAGCTTCTTTTCAGGTTATTATTTTTATTTGACCGCCGAGTTGGCGCAGTTTGTGAGCGTCAAGAACACGCACTTGTAATTTATTACGTTGAATAAAAAGGGACTTAAACCCTTAACAAGACTCTATCTTTTATCCAGTTTTCACAGTCACCTCTTGGTTGCGTGCAAGTTGGAGGCGCGCAACGCTACAAGTGTTTAAGATTTACATTAATTTTTAATCAGATACTTTATGTATTTTTGCCTTGTCGCGAAGTGCTAACTGAATTAATTGAATAAGAAATACTCATTCGTCTGTGAAAAACTGTTTCTTTTTTGTTTTGTTTGCTTAATTTCTTTTATACATCGTTCTAGCTTCATTATGGTATTTGAATAGAACATGTGGCAACGATTAGATAATTCTTTAAATGATATAAATTTTGTGCATTCTGGGTTATAATATGAACGAAATATAATACTGTTAAGTGAACCTAGCGCCAGAGTGTCGCTATGGTAAACAAATAGAGTGAATTTTAAAGAATAAATTTATTCTATTAGGATTTATGCGCTGTCGGCGAAGTAGATTTAATTCAATCCAATAAGTTTAAACGAAATGCAACAAAAATTGCGTATAATTTAATATTCCGTACAAGGAAGTCATGTGGTGTACACATCAGATTTTTTAACTTTATGCTCATGTCTGTAAAACAAAGACTGATATTATAATAAATTTCAGTTGTGTATTTTACTTTTCAGTGCTTATCTAATTTCATTAACTTTTACATCAAAATTAATAGCTCTCTAGGAGGCGGTTAAGAGGTTTGATGTGCGGTAAAAACATATTTAAGTTGTTTTAAGTTTATAATGTTTTTTGTTAAAAAAAATGCAAGTCAAATTAACAGAAATATTTTTTAGTATAATACAAAGCAGTTAACATATTTATTTTAAACCCAACTTATTGCTCAATAAAATATTTAGTATCTAATTATTTTTGAACTCATTTCATTTTAAACTATTTTATTGTTATGAATACTTTGATCTCAGCAACTACACTCAGGTAATTTTTGTTACTTAGTCTATTACAAATTTAGCTTTTGAATCAAGCTCAATCCTGATTGAAATTTTTGAAGTTGAGTGTTTAAGAATATCTTGAAATTTTTCACTATAGCTTTTTTAGTTCATTTTTAATGCTCGGGATATTGTTTATTCAATAATACCTCGTTCAAAAATAAATAGCTAACAGAAATGTGTATTCTTCATTAATGATTTAGCACTAAAAAAATTTTAAAATTTCAATTAAAAATTAAGAAAGCTTCTTCTTGAAATACATCAGGTATTTTACATATTATTTTCTTCATACAATGGTAGAATTTCTCCATAATACCGTATTTATCCGCGTAATAGTCGCACCCCCGTTTTGAAGCAGAAAAAATCGTCAAAAGTGAAAAGTATTGTGTAGTAGATTTTCCCCGCATAATAGTCGCATCTAAACTTTCACAATGTTGGCATAAAACGTGCGACTATTACGCGAATAAATACAGTATGGCGGCGTTATTAACATAAAATTATTTAGATCACTTTCGGAGTAAAATGACCAACATACTTCAAAGTATTGTTAAAAATCAACTGCCAAAAGTATTTGTTATAGTTTAGATTTGCGTATTTAAAGATAGTGAACATACCGGAAATTACCAACTGCATAGAATACAAGGACAGAATAGCAAATGCGTTGTCTTATAGATTCATTTTGTCATGGGAGAAAAAAACATAATTTAGAGGTTGACAACAGCGCAAAACTTATTATTTTACTCAATATACGGAAAAAATATATTTTAACTTTATTTATTTTACAAATGCCAAACATCAGCGCTTAAGCCATTAGTTCACGGGCTCTCCAGTACTTTTTAACAATGTCCTCATACCGAGAAAGTGCAATTCATCATCAAAAAGAAGGCAAGAGACACCGGCAAAACTGTAGAAAATTTAGCACTATCCAGGGTACACGACGAGGAGGCCTTTTATACTTTAAATTTGAATTTGAAATTTTAAGACCGGTGGCTTTAGAGACAACTTTGCTCTGCATGAACTTCAGAATGAACAGGTGTGCACAGGGAAGAACGTTAGTGAATATAAAAGCCACATGCTGTGTTTTTATTTTGCTGGAATGGAAATTGACAACGTGAGAATAAAACTTAAACCGATGAATTCGGTTTAGAAAGCAGAACTACATGCATTGACAGAGGCTTTGAACTGGATTAATAAAAAATTAACAGTTCCATGTTTTATAAATATTTATACTGATGCAATATCTGCGCTTCAGGCACTCGCCTAACCAGATCGTAAAAATCAACTAAGTAATGAAATAAAAGAGTTGTTTAAAAAGGCTGCAAGAAAACAAAATAGTTAAATTACATTGGGTGAAAGCACACAGTGGAATTGTCGGAAATGAAAGAGCGGACACCCTTGCTAAAATGGCGGGTCTTAGGGGTGGAACCGATAATTTCGATATCCAAGATTCAAGAAAAAAGACCATTACTGAAATGGAAAACTGGATTTATACAGAATGGAATTTTTGCTGGGAGTCGTCTAATAAGAAAAAAGAGTTAAAAATATAAAATTAAACAAGAAGATGAATATTATAAATAATGTTGATATAAATCAGGTACTGACTAATCATGGGCATCTCCCGGCTTATTTTAACCGGTTCCATCTACAGAATAACGATAAAGGCTTAATTTGTGATAAGTTTGGGGACGCCAGGTACTTCGTCGATGAATGTACGCTTACTCGGAGTGCAAGAGAGAAATAGAGAAAGAATTTTAAAGAAGATTTAAAAAAGAAATATTCAAATTTGAAAGTTTTTGCAGAGACAATATTGAAGATTCTAAATACGAACAAAGATAGAGTTGGAATTCGACACTGAGACTCAGGTTTTGGACTTAATATGTTTTTTTATTTAAAGAAAAGTTTGCTTATTTAAATTCTTTAAAAGTGTTATTTTATTTCTAATCGCAATAGCATGTGTTCTCTTATACTTTTATTTGTTTAAAATACGTATCGGTGAGAAATTTAACAATCTTTAAAGTAAAAAATGAATTCATTCTTTAAAATTTTTTTGTACTAATCGTGTATTATAATTGCTGAATATTAAAAAAAAAATACTTACTTGATTTAAAATGACAATGATTTCTTTGGGATGTAACTTGTGCACAATGAAAGTATCGTACACAGCACAAAGTACGAGAACAGTGACTCCGTGCTCTTTGGTGAGCATAGACGCAGCTGCTAGTATAAGACAAATATACAAGTACCCCTTTTTGTCTCTGTATTTACAGTATCTCATGTAAGACATCAGCGACAACAGGAAAAATAAACAGGCTCCCACATCAGCCCGTCCAACAACTCCTGCAACCGCTTCAGTGTGAATAGGATGAGCAGCGAAGAGTAGACCAGCAACCAGAGTCGGCAAGAGGCTGCGACAAAACACAGCAGCAGCAAATTGTGTAAACAGAGCAGACACTATAGCATGAAGAAGGATATTGAAGAAGTGGTAACCACAAGGGTCGAAACCCCCAAGGGCGTAATTTAGGCGGAACGTAAGTACACACAGGGGGCGATAAGACTTATGAGATCCGCTGTGGGTTAGTGGAGTTCCCCAGAAGTCATTGTAGAATAGCTGGCCAATTGGAGTGCTCGGCAGCAAGTCCTGATTCGTCTTGATGGCACGACTGAAAGAAAAGAAAATATCACCGTTAAGTATCAATGGAAAACGTTTTAAATTATTTACTGCACAGTAACGTTTAAAAACCTGTGATAAATATGATTTAATGGAAATAAATTTCCTATGTGTAGAAAGATAAATTCTTAAGTTTCATTGTTCATGTATTATTTAATATTCACTAATTAACATGAGATTATGAGTGCAAAATAGGAAAATGATCCAGCAGAATTTTATGCCATTTTCCCATAAAATTTTGATTCACGCTAAGAATCATACATTATTATAAATGCTTTTCATTTAAATTCATAGTTAATCTGAGTTCTAATGAGACACATTAACGTTTTACCTGCTAAAATATAACATACAAAACAAATGAATAAACTTGAAAAATACAGTGGTCCAAAATGAAACTAATATTTCTGGATGAGATTTAGATTACCTTGGATAATGTCCTCCTTAACAGGCCCAAACTGAATTTTGTTAAATTGGTGGTAACATTATCTTCGATAAATCTTACTTTGATAATAACACTCAGCATCAGCAAAAAAGGTATAATAAAATTTAATAGTGCATAACATCAGGAACGTTTCTTTTATGCATTTTGTAAAGCATAACGCTACTGTCACAAATTACAAACAAAATCACTTAAAAATTTGATTTAAAAAATTTATAAAAATAATTTTAAAAAAATTAAAATTTAAAATAATTATCTATTAAAATTACCAGCCATTTAAATTACATATCAAGCTTACCTAAAATATTACATTTCAAGAGTGGAACAAACCTAAGTGTTCGTACTATTTAATAATTATATATATAATAAGACACTTTAATATAGGGTACAGTCATTAACTCAACACAACATGCCATCGATCGTTTGGAAGTGAAAAGAAATATTATAATTCATGCAATATAGTGATAATAGAATTCGAAAACTTTGAATCAATTTCAAACTAAGAACAGATTATCGATATTTTCTAAGTTACTCATGCAGAAAGAAAACTGTTCCCATTCATTCATTTTCAGATACAAATATGTTCACTGTGTTTTACTTTACAAGATCGCTGTTATGAAGCCCAATGCAATGGTATTATAATTTTATTACTAAAAGTTTTCTGAATTTAACGATGAAAATTTCTTTAAAACTGTTTGAGAATAGGGCAATCTAAAACGTATTGCTACAGAACGCAATGCAGTAAACTATGATAACTAAATGATAATAACTGCGCTTTAAATGTCACATTCGACTAATGTCATATTACGTCAGTCTGCTGACGTCATATTACGTCATTGATACTTAGAAATTGCCTAACTGAAGTGACGAAGGGAATGCTGAAGCGTATATTTCCAAATCCAGCTCTTAGTATAATATTCATATCTCAAATTATCAAGTAGGCCAGTGGTCCCAAACTGCCGCATGCGACTCCCAAAGCAATTTTACACGGCCCGCGAAAGCATTTCGATAATGCATTTGTTGCAGATACGGTGTCTCAAAGATTTCAAAGATTATTATTTTTATTTATACATTTTGATAAATATTTAGTAATTCAAAATTTAAAATTTGTTCAGCCTTTATTTTGTTCATAAATAAGTGCCATATAGTTAAAAATAAAATAAAAAGAACTTCCGAGTTGTCAGCTGTATTTAAATCGTATATTCGACCCACGTGCAATTTGAGCTTGAAAGCACTGAGGTAGGCGATATAATGCTATGCATTCCACAAGAGAAGAAGAGGAAGAATGGCCTTGTTTGTTTACATTAGCTGCACATAAATCATGTGATGACTGAGGTCATCGGAATGTATCTATCTCATTAATTAAGTCAACTGAAATAAAATGAGTGAACAGCAAAATCATCGCTTTGATCATGAAAACAAACTTTCAATATTATATTTCAAAAAATTCTGATGTGGAAGCCACATGACTTCTTTGTATAGTCTATTAAATTATACACGTTTTTGTTGCATTTCATTTAAACTCATTTCCTCGAATTTCATTACACATATATTTCTCACTCAATTAATTCAGTTCTCTCTTTGCAGCAAAGCAAAAATGTATAAAACTCAAAACATCCTTATTAAAATTTGTAAAATACAGAAAAACATAAACCGACAGATACAGTTAAAAAAAAACAATTTTTACAGTTAAAGTTAGAGTTTCTACGCAAAAACAAGCCATTCGGGCAGCGTGCAAAAAGGCAGATTTTCCGGTGTACAAAACCGAAAGATTATTTTTTTATTCGGCTCGGCAAAAAGACACTTAACGTGCAGAAACCGTCTTAATTCAAGATTCTACTAAGTTTCAAATGCAAACAAATGGCGGTTTATTAGGCTTAAATCGCCACTTAAACTTTTAAACTCTTAATAATTCTACAACGATTGCATGCAGATTAACTAAAAGCATAAAAACCTCAACCGGAACATAAAAACCACATAATTCAATCACTTTCAAAGCAAAAAAATGCACAATTTACTAATATATAAGAATAAAAAACTAAGCTCACCGAACCAGGTGGAAATATATATATATATACTTCCACTCTGTTGCTCCAATCATATGTGTATAAAAATATATGATCGGTGCAATTGATTGCAACGAAAAAGGGGAGGTGCACAGTTACATGTTATAACCAGTCTCATATACAAAATTTCAACGTTCTACGGCTATTCGTTCTTGAGTCATGTGAGATACATACGTGCGTATGTACGTACACACGTCAAGAAAAATAAATCTCTTCTGAACCCATTTTAAATCCAATTTACAGTTCTTTTTTGGCAAAAACAATCCTTTATTCTGTACGTACGTACAGATGTCACGCAAAAACACCGTTCAAATAATTTAATGAATATAATATGATAAAAATATGATAATAATATGATACCCGAAATTTTCGCCATTACATACTTCCTTTACTTCGTACAAGTAAGTAATAAAATGCATGCATTTAAATGAAAAACATAATATTTAGTTTTTACGTAATTTTAACGAATTCACAAGCATTTTTGAAGTAATTAACACATTTCGAATTCGAGTGGAATGCAAGGTTTCAGAACATCATATACGAAGACGTATTTTTAACAATGCATTTAAATGAAAAACATAATATTTAGTTTTTACGTAATTTTAACGAATTCACAAGCATTTTTGAAGTAATTAACACATTTCGAATTCGAGTGGAATGCAAGGTTTCAGAACATCATATACGAAGACGTATTTTTAACAATGCATTTAAATGAAAAACATAATATTTAATTTTTACGTAATTTTAACGAATTCACAAGCATTTTTGAAGTAATTAACACATTTCGAATTCGAGTGGAATGCAAGGTTTCAGAACATCATATACGAAGACGTATTTTTAACAGACAATATGCCCTTGCAAAAATAATTTAACAATTGACTGGAAACTTGGAATCATTTTATATTTCTGTCAAAGTTTCGCATTTAAGTAAAACAAATCAATACTACCTTCCTTTTTTTTCCTTTCCTTATTTATGGCTAGTTGCCAAAAATCGGAGTTTTCAATTAAAGTTCTGCTTTGAAGAAGATGGCAATTATTAAATAAATAATACGCAACTAAAAAATTATTTATTGAAATATGATGTCATAAAATGTCATTGAATGATAGAAGAATGAAAATGAGAAACAAAGAAATATTTCCTTTTATTAAAATGTTATCCAATGCATTTAAAACCTCTTAAAATATTTTGGAGAGATATATACAAACAATAAGAAAATAAAATGCTTTATATCTACGACAATAAAGGAATAAAACAATATGAAACAATATATTTTAGATACAAAATGTCTTAAATAGAAATAGGTAAAATTGAATTCTCTTGTAGTAGTATATATCGTATAAATAAGTACTTCTAAAATAGCATCTGCCAGGCATGATAGGAATAACATGTAAAGTTAAAACTCCATTTCAGTTGCCACAAAATCGTAAGAGAAACCGAAATTATATAAAAGTTTTCTATTTCTCTTAAAAGAAACATAAGTTTATTTTTAGTAAAACGAACTTTTCTGTAACAGAGTTTTTAAATGGCGAATAAATAAATTTTATTTCTGACACGAAGTTGCATTTCTTTCCTTTCAGTATAACATTCACTTCTCTTCGTGGCTTAAAAGCTATTCTCTCAAGAATTATTCAGAAAACCGAAACATAATTTAACCCTAGTGTATGAAATAAAAGCAGTTCCATTCATGAACTTCAGTAAATTTTAATTTACACTGCAGGATATTCTCATAAAATAATAATAACACTTTAGATATTTGAATTCAAAATTTTTTGATGAATTTACAGCATTTGCATTAAATATCGGCATAACCACATCATTCCTAAATTATGGAATTAAATGCTTTCAAATTGCATAAAATTAGTTGATTATCCTGTTTCTTTCTTATTTCAGATATTTACTATATAACTTTTTAATCTATTCCTTCTGTAGAAAACATTGTTGATATTACCTTGTATCATATGATTTAATATAACCTGACAATAAAAAAATACTGCATCTAGTAAAAAAAAAACTATTAAACTCTTACTTTCACTGCTAATCTATTCCCGAACTAGCTTACTTTTATAATTTTATTAGTAGTTGTAATAATTATTATTATTTGTAAAAACAAATTTTGATTCTGAAAAGCAAATTTAAGAAAAGTTCATCTTCAAGCCAATAAATGCATCACAAATTTGAACTAGCAAACATAGAGTTCATTTCATTAAAATATTAAATATGTTCAGTATTTTATTTTTATCAACGAATTGCTTATTGAGCAAATGGCAACATTGAATTACGAAATGCGAAAGATATTCATACTCGTGTGTAGTATTTTATGTTTTGTACGCCTTAGAGCAGCATGTGGAGCTTTTTGTAGACATATTTTCATTAGATCCCTTTAAATCTTACATGTTAATGGTGTTAATGAGTCTTGATAACGGTAGAAAGAGACACATAGAAAGGAAATATAAAGTAAAACTGTATCTAAATAATTACCCAAGGTCCATGCGAACAAATTATAATTCTAAAATTGTTCATAATTTGTCAATTTATTCTCAACTACCACCAATACACATGATGCTATCAAAATTTAATCATACATAAGTATGTTCCAAAATTGGATAAATCAAATATTCGTGTCACAAAAATTTTCTATTATTGAAAAGAGCAACAAAAAGAAGGTCCATACAAAAACTCACTACTTTCAATTAATCATAATATCCAGTTCAATTCAAATACATATACAAACACAATACAAAGCTGGATAGCAAAGAAATCCAAAGAGAGATAATGGTTCTGAACATTATTTACATTACGTTATGGAGAGGAACATATAACTGAATAGTACAAACATAACAACCCTGAATGGAATTTACATAAGCTTAATGGTGTTTACGTCTCGTTCGTTACATGTGTTACTGATACTTTAGCTATTATTAGTTCAAAAATTAAAGCAAACAAAAAACAATAACAAAAACAAAAACAACAAAAAAAAAATATATATATAAAGCTTTCAGATTTTACATTACCCCCAAAGGAGCATTTTTAAACGTTTTGCGCGTTACTTTTATTTATTAAATATCCTGTTCTCACTTTAACCACATGAAATTCAATTCAACAGCAATATTATAAAATGTTTAAAAACATTGTCATTATTGCCATTGCTCGCTTTGAAATCGTTGAGTTTGTTAATCAAAAATTCCTTAAAATTTTACATAATATGAAGTAAACAATAAAACAAATTCCAAATTTCAAATTCGGGCTTTCAGATGCCCATCTTCGGGTGGAGGACTCCGTTATTCAAAATTCGATCGCTCCCTAGCTACCGTCGTTTTTTCACAATGCGAGAAAAATACATACATTCATGCAGATTCTTCATTATTTAGCTTCTTTAAATATAATACAAGACGATAATATTTAATGGCAACAATTTGAAAAGTGATTCAGTGGTTTTAGTGATACAAAGCAAAATACCGTTTTGAGACTTACAGCCCTTCTGGGATAACGCTATTTTGGGCTAATAAGAAGAAATCCTTCATTTTACTTTTTGACATCGAAATGATAAAATATAATTATAAAATAAATATGTTTTCAAAATAAAATTCAAATTTAATTTGTCTTAGTTAAGTTTTCGATTTCTTTGCAACATTTGGTTTATTTTTGGAATAAACAAGATTCATTTGTTTATTTCTTGCTTTCAAAATCACAATTTGCTCCAAAAGAATGACCCCCTTAAAGAAAAAGTCTTTAACAAAAAGATAAACAAACAAGAAAAAAAGCAAATGCATGCTGATTTTATTCAAATTATGAATACGATCTTTTATTCATACAAAGTTTTGTTATTCATTGTAGAAGTGTATTCCATTTTAATTTTACTAACTCTAATGCAACTTTAATTTTAGTCAATTTTTATTTATTTTACTTTTTGGAGTATTCGCAAAACTTTCAGGCCTCCCTGGAGCGCCGTTTGGAAAAAATTAATTAAAACAGTTAATAAGTTTTAGAAACTCAGAATTTATTACAAAAATGACATTTTGTGAAATAAAGCAATTTTACTGTATTTCATAAATTCTAAGATATATATAAAAAGACGTATTTTTATAAAAACGGACAAAATACACTTACACCAAATAAATAAATTTATCAAAAAACTAGAGTGAATTTTCTGATTTTTAAGAAAAAAGAAGCTAATATTAACTTGTAATTGCATTTTCAATGCCAGAGCTATAGCTAGGAGTTTTAGAGACTGAGGACAACTGAAGATCTCGCGCCTCCTCCTGCTCATTCTAAAAATTCGTAGCATCAATTCCACGGCCACTGGAAGCTGCACCCGGGGACAAATATCCCCCATGACCCCCTCTAGCTACGCCCCTGTTCAATACAGAGCTTCAGAAATTAAATAAGTATGCAAAACTATTGGCTTCTCTGTTTTAGTTACTTTTGCTTAATATCACATAGCATAAAATTTTCATTTTTTTGTGTTACTTACGATAAACGATATCCTTAGCATAACTTAAGTATTTTAACAGAAAATTTAAGTAGAAAATTTCAACTACACTTAATACACATAGGAATATATATACATATATATATACATATATATATATGTTTCATCGGAAAAACACTTAGGTCACATCCCACCTAAGCCAAAACATGCATTAAATGCCAAAACGTTGTTATTTCTTTAAGCATTAGTCAATAAAGAAAATAAATGCAGTAGAAAGTGGTGATTTTTCGAAATCTTTTTATTTCCTTCCACGCGTACTCTTGTAATTAAATAAGTAGTTCATCGAAGATGCTGGCAACGATTTGTACTTCTTACGAGATATAAACTCCATAAAATATGGCGCAATCGGATCGGTGAAGATCTATTGTCGGTCATAAACATTTGCTGCCGCTCGCTTCCTACGTTAAAACGGCGATTTCCGCCATTAGCATTTAGACTACTTTGCCGCACTGGTCTCCATTTACAACACCTGCGCCATCTAGCGAGGAAAGGGCGAAAGAAAAACAGTTAGTGGATAAGATAAAGCTGGATAGGAAAGAAATGCAAAAGGGGATAATGGTTCTGAATATTATTTACATTACTTTATGAAGAGGAATGTAGAATTGAATAATACAAACATAACAATTCTGAATATAATTTACATTAGCTTATTGATGTTTACGTCTCGTACGTTGCATGTGTTACTGATACTTCAGCTATTATTAGTTCAAAAATAAAAGCAAATAAATAATAAGAAGAAAAAGAGCTTCGTTTTACTTTCTGGCATCAAAATCATAAAATCTGCTTGTAAAATAAATATGCTTTCAAAATAATTAAAATTTAATTCATTTTTTCTATTACTTTGTGACATTTGATTTATTTTTGGAACAAACAAAGCTCATTTGTTTATTTCTCTTTCTTTTTTGACTTTAAAAATAGAATCCACTCCAGAAAAATGAAAAAAAAAAAAAATTAACAACAAAAAATAAGTAAATGAATAAAATGAAAAAGCATGTTCTTATTCAAAACTATGCTTGCTACAGATGTGTATTACTTAAATATTTTCATTGACTCCGTTCCGCCTCTAAGTACGCTTCAAATTTGAAATAATAAAATATTTAGTTGTTCCACTCTGAATCAGGGGGTGTAGATAAACGAAACGTTAGCCTTGAATTTAAGATTGGAGAATTTGGGTGAGAATCTTAGCTTAGATTAGCGGCCGTTTTCCTACTATTCTTGCATTAGACTTTGTATAAACTGTGATTATAAATATTTTATGCATTGCTTTTTGTGTAATTTTGGCCTGAAAATTTTCATAGAGTAATCTTTAGCTTTTTTACCATCCAAACTTCGACTTCTTCCCTTAAAACAATAAATAAATATTTAAATCCCCAAAATTAAAAAATATTAAAATACTCATTTTTGGTTAGTGTTTGTTAAGTGGGAAATCAACAAAATCATCTTGAAATTGGCAAAAATAATATATTATTTCAACAACAACATTCCTACCCTAAGCAAGCTGTCGAAATCTAATTTCTCCTTCTTTTCAGCATGCCTTCGTGGTATAATTGGAAGCAAACTCGAAGGGCATTCTAGAGGCCACGGTTCGAGTCCCGGCGAGAACATTGCAATTTTTTTGAAGTCTCCTACTTCAGAAAAACCTGATGCCTCGACAAGTGGCGCCGGAACTAAAAAAGGTTCTGGACATAATTCGCCACCACCAGGATCTGGCAAGTGTATCCTCTCATCCTCAGTCGCCCTTTAAAAGAGGGAGTATATAAAGTAATTTCCCTTCCATTCTGCATGCCTTCGTTGCGTAATTGGAAACATATTCAACGTGTATTCGATAGATCCAGGGTTGGAATACCGGCGAGCGCACTGCATATTGTTCACGTCCCTTGCTTCAAAAAACCTAATGTCTCTACAATCAAATACAATAAATGGCCAAAAAAAAAAATCCAAAAGCTCTCAGATTTTATATTACTTCCAAAGGGGCGTTTTTTTCACAGGGATTTAAAACGGGATTTGAAAAGTGATACATAGATTCAAAGTCACACTATAAAGTATTTCTCCCGTCACCTTAGTGTGCTTTTGTGGTGTAGTGGTCTGCATGCTGGGCGCATATTTCAGAGGTCAGTGGTTCTATTCCCGGCGGAAGGCGTTGCTCATTTTTCACTTTCCAAAAAAGGATCTAATGTTTTTACAACTCAATGTAAAATACGGTTACAGATTATAACACATTTGCGTTGCTATGCTACCAACATAATACCAGTATGAAATGTAACGTAACCTCGCGCATAAAATATCCGTGCTTGAAGATGCTCGCGATGTTAATGTTAATGAAACTCTTTGAAATCGTTGATTTTATAACCAAAAATTAAAGTTTCACAAAATCTGAAAACAGATAATAAAAGAAATTCCAAATCTGGGCTTCCAGATGCCCATATTTAAGCGAAGGACTACTTTATTCCAAATTTGATGTCTTTAGGTACCATTGTTTTTTCACAGTGCGAGGAACATGCATACATTCATGCAGATTCTTCATTATTCAATTTCTTTAAATACAAAGCAGGGCAATAATATTTGTTGGCGACAATTTGAAAAGTGATTCAGCCTTTTAGAGTGAGCCACCGTAAAATGTCAAAAGAAAATTAACAGCACTTCTGGGCAAATTGACCCTTTGGGCTATTTTAGAATATGTAAAACTGCAAAATATGAACATCAGCAAAATTCATTTATAAGTTTGTGTCCGTGAAATTTAATTTACAGTTTGAAACTTTCAATCATAAAATTTACGACATCGAAATGAGGCACCTCAAAATTACTGTTTTTTTCTTTATAGTAGTCAAAAGGTGTTTTATATCTGAATGAAGATATACGTACAGTAGCTCAAAGAAAAATGTTTTCAGTTATATTGTGCTATTATATCTTGTATATTTATTCATACTTCAGTTATGTTACTTTTTTACAATTCTATAATAGTACAGCAAACTCCTTCTTTGTGCTCCTAAAAGTTTTTAAGAAATTAAATACTTAAAAGTAACAGATAGTGTTTAAGTTTGATATAATTATGCACTTGGGTCATAATCATTATCTCGTTCAAAAAATTTTACATCAGCAAAGTACTAATTTTATAGAAACAAAATATTTATTAAATAAAATTAAATTTAAAAAAAGAATTATTTTCTGTAATTAGCAAACATTTTCACCTCATTTACATATAAATGCTTGTACGTGGATGAAAAATGAGGAGAAAAAATGAAACTTTACAAACTTTGAAAATTGCTCTTTGGGCTTTTTATGCTAAAAAGTTATAATGAATAGTACCAGCTTGTTTTTTTTCCCTCTCGTTGCCTACTCATGTATAACGAAAGGAACAGAGCAGACCGTAATGATATCGCTTTTTTCCCCCTGTACTTTCAACGGTTTTTCTAGAATTTTCTACTCTCCGAAATGCCAGGCACGTTACACACGAGTGATTACTTAATGAGATTGGCATACGGAAGAATGAAATTTCCCCACAGACGTTGGCAACAGTAGGTCGTGCCCCTAGCTAGAGAGTTGGTAATTATGGAAGTGTGGGGTACCGCGAATAAGCGATTGGATTATTAAGTATTCACGTGACTCATATGCTCAGTCAGAGTTAGTTGCTTGAATGATGCATCTCTACCTGTCAAATGTAATCATTTTCAGTAATTGAATTATACATTAATTTTAATTCGGGTAGTTTTTCGCGTTAGAATTAAATGTTTTCTTAAACAAAGACTGTATATTCTTCAGCCTGCATAAAATTAAAAAAAGAACAGAAAAGATATGTGTCTTTTTACTTCTTTCTACGAGGTAAAAGAAGTAATGTAATCGTGAAAAATTTCTGATTTCAACGGAAATATCTATTTTGACCACTGTCCAGCCCATTTGAACAATGTTTTTGCGTGATATCTGTATGTACGGTCAAAATAAAGGACTTCTTTTTTCCGAAACGGATTGTTAAACGGATTTAAAATGGATTCAGAAGAGATTTTTTCGTGACATCTGTACGTACATACGTACGGA